TTAAATAATTCCAATGCAATGGCTATGCCTAAGACTAATTCCATGAAGTACTAGGGAGCAGCTATGTGTTTAAAGTCCCACGGTGGTTCCTGTGTGCAGCTGAAATTGTGAATCACTGTGTCAAAGATCCAATCCTCTCTTTTACTTCCATGGGTTTCAATCAGCATTTTAAATACTGTTGTGTTTAAATAGCTGGGCGAGTCCCATATTCATCTGGAAAAATGGTGAGGGAGTGATCCAGATTTTTATAGCCATTCTAAGCCTAATAGTGAATGCCAAATTTTGAAGAAAGGAAGTGATTTCACCTCAGTTGTACACAGGAGGAGAGGCATATGTGTGTGTGTTTGTGTGTGTGTGTGTATCCAGGGGTCCCATGCAAAATGGTTTAAAAGCAGAAATATAAGCAGTAAATGGCAAATTACTGCCCTTGGTAGTCAGGCAGCTTCTTAGTGTCGGAAGGAGGCTGATTGTTCTTCCCGGCAACACACAGACAGATGGACTTCCCATACCATCTTAGGGCTGCCACTTACTCCCATTCCCACCCTCCCACACCTTCCTGAGGCCCGGTTAGGACAACAGTAGGATGGATGACTTTCCAGTGGCTCTTACAGCTTAGGGGTATTTCCAGTTAAGCACCTTAGCCTTTCCCCACTGTGGCTATCACCACCATCACCATCGTGGACATTCTTCTTCCAAGTAGTTTCTGTTGCTAACCGTGCAAAGTGCATGGCTTCCTCGGACTATACGAAAACTCTGCTGCTGATATCCAACATGGTTCAAAGGCTGATGAGCAAGCATGCCCATTGCGGAAGTGACTTTCTGGTGGAACTAAGGGCTGACATTAAATAGCATTTTGCTAAACAGGTTTCTTATCTTTCTTTTCTTCCTTCTTTTCTCCCTCCCTCCCTCCCTCCCTCCCTCCCTCCCTCCCTCCCTCCCTCCCTCCCTCCCTCCCTCCCTCCCTCCCTCCCTCCCTTCCTTCTTTTCCCCTTTTTTCTTTCTTTTAAGCTACAATGTCATCCTACTGTCTACATTCTCACTACTCTCCGGCAGCATTCTCTCAGGAATATCTCTGGAGTTCAACAAGCTGTTTACACCATGCTTTTAGAAGAACATACAACTTGGGGACCTTGGGACATCTGAGCCAGTGAGAAAGTGAGAGGCTGACTCAGGGGATTTGCATCAGGTGGTTTGGGGAGCATTTCAGGGAGTCAGGGTTGGATGCTGCCAGGGTGATGTTCTCTGGCTGAGAATTTAGCAAATATCTCTGGAAAGTGGGGGCAAACAAGAGCCAGGATAAACGTGGGGTTGGTAGAGAAGCTGGAGGCACCACTATTAGCAAGATTGGGGGATGTCTGGTCGTATTTGTTCTTTGAACAATGTCCACATTTTGTCCCTGGGGAGACATGATTATGGAGTAGCTTTGTTTGTGTCTTGTCCTGGCTGTTTGCAGAGTGCTTTACTGGATTTTAGTGTTTGGGGAGTTGTTTCTCATAGCACACATCTGTCTGTGAGCACATGACCAGGTCCTGGACAGTAAGGCATTTTTTTTTTCTTTTTCATTCCTCCATTTTGGTCAAGAGCAGAAAAGGCCAACCTGGTGTGCATGAATAATTCAGACTATCCACATTTTGCCAGTGGAAAACATTGTCAACCAGGAAGCTGTTTCAAAGCTTAGGCTATGGTTAATGGGTTATTTCTCATTGCTGTGACACAGTACTTAACATAAACAACTCAAGAGAGTAAAAGGATTCTTTTGGCTTATGGTCTCCATCATGGTTAGCTTGCTCCATTGTTTTGGGGCCATCAGGCAGATGAACATCATGATAGAAGGGCTTTAGGAGCAAAATTGCTTTCCTCATGGTATCTAGGGACCAGAGAAAATCAGCAAGAGGTCAGGCAAAAGATATCCCCCAAAGACACACCCATAGTGATCTACTTCCTTCAGCTAGCTATGTAGGCCTCCTAAAGTTTCTACTACGTTTGGTGACAAAGAGTGTCACCACCCGAGGACCAGGCCTTCAACTTATGTGTGTGTGTGTGTGGGGGGGGGGCATTTCGTATTTGTGTTTGTTACTTTTCTGTTGCTGTGCGAAGACACCATGACCAAGGTAGAAACTGTTCATTGGGGCTTACAGTTTCAGAGGGTGAGTCTCTGACCAGCTTGGCTGGGAGAATGGCAGCAGGCAGGCCGGCAGAAGTAGCTCAGGGCTCACATCTTGATTCACAAGCATGAGACAGAGCCATCATTTGAAACCTCAAAGCCCACCCACAGTGACCTGTCTCCTCCCACAAGGACACAAGCTCCTAATTCTTCCCAAACTGTTCTGCCGACTGGAGACCAAGTATTTAAACATATGATCCTGTGGAGGTCATTCTCATTCAAACCACCACAAAGACTAAAATGTAACTTTAGAGAATTCCTCGCACTTTTGTTGCAAGATGAGTGGCAGAGCTCTTTGATGTCATAACAGCTAACCAATTACATTTAACTGGTCAACTATAATACAGTTGCTAATCACAGCCTAAATGCTTAGTTTTGAAACAGCCCTCGAAGTTAGGGACCTAGATTGCAAAAATTCAGGCAAGGAGAACATGCTCCAAATCCAAAATCCAAATAGGTTGGAGACGTTTATAGAGGCCTTTGGTTTCTGTTTACTTTTGTTTTTGTTTATTTGTTTGTTTTGTGTTTCCAAGACAGGGTTTCTCTGTGTAGTCCTAGCTGTCCTGGAACTCACTCTGTAGACCAGGCTGGCCTCAAACTCACAAAGATCTACCTGCCTCTTCCTCCCGAGTGCTGAGATTAAAGGCATGTGCTACCACTACTTACCTGGCTCCCATGTCCTGTCTTTAATAGTCTTGCTAGGAATGGCCAGGTGATGGTGGTGCACGCCTTTAATCCCAGCACTCGGGAGGCAGAGGCCGGAAGATCTCTGTGAGTTCGAGGCCAGCCTGGTCTATAAGAGCTAGTTCAAGGACAGGTTCCAAAAGCTTCACAGAAATCCTGTCTCGAAAAACCAAACCAAAAAAAAAAAAAAAAAAATTGTAGTCTTGCTAGGATTGTGTAGATTTTGGAAGACCTTTGTAGTAAACTGCCAACATCTTCTCAACAACGTTGATCCTATATCAAGACCCATTTATTGCTGATATTTTATTTTCTTCCCGAGGCATTTTTGTTAAACTCCACTTTTCTTCATGGCTCTCTTTTGCCATCATTAATGGCAAAGCACCTTAAAGTTCCTCATCTCTGTTTAGTTCACATTTTGCAAGGTGAAATACAGTTTCTGGGGGAGGACTGTTTCAGTCCGCAGCCCATGGCCATCTGCACGGCCCTCCACAATCTGCTGAGCAGGACCAGCTACATCCTTTTCACTCGACCTCAACCATTCTGTTCAAAAATTCTGTAGACATCCAAGCAGGGGCTGGCGAATAGTGAAGCTAAGTGCAGGCAGGTGGCTTACCCCCGTGCTGAGCAGGTTATGAAGGGTGTGGCCCGCACATGAACTTCTGCTGTCCTCGTCACACACAGGACAACTGTGTTCCAGTGACTTGACTCCAGAAGAAAGGGAGGCCGAAGAACCAGAGAGCAGAAGAAGTCACAAAACTGAGGACCTGGTTTCCAGAGAAGGAGGCAACAAACAGGTGGCTATTGATAGGAACAAAATAGGAGCACACCGAAAAGGGTACCACCCCAAGTAGCATCTTAGCTATGGACGATTTCCCAGTCGCCTCCCTTCCCACCAGCCTCCCCTAAGAAAAGTGGCAAGTGAGCGCTGCTACTTTTGTTTCAGCTCAGTTCTGACCACCCAAGCACAACGACCTACCTACCAAGCCTATAGGTCACAGGTACACAGTAAAAGCCCTGTGCCGGGTGCACTCTTCCTTCCTTTCCTCTTCCGCCCCTCCGGGAAAGATGAGGCTCAAAAACGGTAAGAGAGAAACCCAAATCGCCACCCACAGAACAAAACCAATTAGAAAAAAGGCAGAATAACTGTTTATGAAGTAGTCAGCGCTAGGTTCTTGCAGGATAGTGAAGGGCTCATTAAAACAAACAAACAAACAAACAAACAAACAAACAAACAAACAAACAAACAAACAAACATTAAATCAACCAACCAAACCAAAAGGAAACACACCTCTAAACTGCCTAAGGGAAAACTAAACTTACTATGTTTTTTTGTTTTTTTTTTTTTTTGTGCTGTTGCGGAGGAGTTGGAGAATTCACTAATCAGGAGAGGAACCCCATACAATGATGGAGTCTTTTGCCCAGGGATTTTGCTCCTGCAATAAAGGATGGTTTTAGTCCACAGGCACTTTAGTTTTCTTTTGTTCCTTTTTGGTGAATACTAATGATCGAAAATGAGGCCGAGGCTGGAGGGCCATTGAGAACAGAGGCACCGTGGAGGGGGAAGTCCTGTGGGAGAAACTCTAAAGTCCACAACTTCTCAGCTCAGCCTTAGTCCTTGACTTTTTTGTTTTCCAATTTTGCATGAAAATGTCACTTGAATGTCCCTGAACATTCTATTCTGTTCTCAAATACTTGCCCCTTACCAATAGAAATATAATTAATAATCCCATTGGGTTCCACGTGCATTTTAAGAAAAGGCAGGCTTTTAGAGACTACAGGGGTAGATCCTAGCATTTTATTTAATTTTTTTTTTCACATGGTCAGGAAGTAACTGGGGCCTTGGCTTGGGGAGGAGGGGTAGGCATATAGGGAAGTGTATAGGGAGGCCCCCCGGAAGTCGCGCTGAGCCATTTAAACCTGAGGTGACCTCCTAACGGATGGCGAATGGCGGGAGAGCCTGGTCAGAGCTTTAGCGCAGGGCGCGGCCATTGGTGACGCACGCCAGGGAGCCGGCGCCCACATTTCCACCATTAGCGAGGCCTCACACCCAGCTCTCCAAGTTCGGGGCTGGAGGCGTCCCTGCTCCGCTTCCTCCTCTAGGAGGCGGGTCGGCCCCGCCCCTGCGCCCCGGGTCGCTCCCCGCCGCCCCGCCCACCTCCTACTCCTGGCCTCCCCCGGCGCAGCGCACTCCCCGCCGGCCCGCAGCCTGACACGCAGCGCGGTCCCTCAGTCTCCCGCGGTCGCCTCCCCAGGCATGGCACAGGGCCTCGCCGCACTATGGCAGCAGCAAGGCACAGCACGCTCGACTTCACGCTCGGCGCCAAAGGTGAGGGCGCCGCTCGCCACCTGCACCGGCGCCTCGGTGGCGGCAGCGGCAGCGGCGGTGGCGGCCGCGCGGTCGTCCCCTCCGCGCCTGCGGTGCTGAGGCCAGGGCCAGGCTCTGGGGCGCGCGCCGCGGACTGAACAATGCGGGCGACCGCGCGGCGCCTGCGTCTCCCCCGGCTGCAGCGCTGAGCACGCCGCTGCTGGCCCTCGTGCATCGGTGGAGGCCGCGTCGCGCCGCGCCGCGCCGCTCCGCTCCCCGCTGTGCTCAGTGCTCGGTCCTCGCCGAGCTCGCTGGTGGCCGCACTGCGGGGCCTGGGGGGGAGCTGCGGCGATGTGTGCCAGCCGCACCGCCCTTCCGGGCCTGGATTGTAGGTCCACGCGGGCTCGCTGCCCTCCACGCCCCGCTGGAGGGTAAATCCCTTTCAGGCTGTGGGGCGCGGCGGCTCCCCGGTGGGGGCGGGTGCCGGGCGCTGTGGCCGGTTCGAGGCACGACCCGCGAGGCAGGCCTGGGCGGGGGGTGTGCGCGGCGCGGGACTGCTGCCCACGCCACCTTTTCCTGTGCTGGCAGGCTGCTGAATTTCCCTCTTGGGGGTGGGGTGGGGGTTTCCCCTTGAGGGCAGCCAGGGCTGGAGGAGGACCAGGGCCACTTAGCGCACGCAAGGTTCTTAGTCCACTGTGTAGGACACCGAACCTCCGAAAAGGGACCCGGAGGACAGAGAAAGGAAACGATTATTATTCTTGGGGGTGGGGGAAGGATGAGATTTGGGCGCGGGAATTATAGCCACCACCATCACTACTAATCCGCGAGGCTCAGAAACCCGAGCCTGGTCTTCCCAGAAAAGGCTGGGAGAATCTATCGCGGACTGGAATTTGGAGGGTAGGGATGCAGTGCGGGCTTCTTTTCTTTGAGAGAATCCAGCCTGGGCGCAGGGGGCGGGAATGATGGGGCCTTTAAACGACTGCTGCCGACTAGCATGTGCACTTCCCAGATCATCCCACATGCAGTGTGCTGCTCAGACCTTGCTTTTTCTCTGCTTTCTCGATTAATGGAACACCCTTTCTGTTCGGATTTTTAACATCGACTTTGTTGCTTTCTGAACTTCTGAGCGCTCACTTGGTACTTTTTCCTTCAATCCTAAAATATCTCAGAGAGCACAAGATTACTAATTTAAAGACAAAAAAAATTAAATCTGGGTATTTGGAGCAAAGTCTGGCTTTTAGTCTGCCTTTTCTAATTGGTTTTGTTCTGTGGGTTTCTCGCTTACCATTTTTGAGCCTCATCTTTCCCGGAGGGGCGGAAGAGGAAAGGAAGGAAGAGTGCACCTGGCACAGGGCTTTTACTGTGTACCTGTGACCTATAGGCTTGGTAGGTAGGTCGTTGTGCTTGGGTGGTCAGAACTGAGCTGAAACAAAAGTAGCAGCGCTCACTTGCCACTTTTCTTAGGGGAGGCTGGTGGGAAGGGAGGCAACTGGGAAAGCGTCCATAGGTAAGATACTACTTGGGTGGTGGGGCTGGAAGGGAGTGTAAGATCACAAAGGCTTTCCTGAGAGTTAGTTACCTTGACCGTTTTCAGGGCTGACTGGCGTTTTCAGGGCTGACTGGCGTTTTCAGGGCTGACTGGCGAATGGGAATTCTAGCACCCCGTGAATTGGGTGGTGAGAAAAGTGAAGAGCCTGGTGAGCGGAGCAAAGGCCTCCCCCAACTGAGAAGGGGTGAATTTGGGGGATGTGTCCCCTCGTGTAATCCCCAGGGGAACACTTAATCCTTCATGGACTTTCTGGAGGGACAGTGGGCTCAGCATGAGGTCAAAGAAATTCTAGCCCTTCCAGAGACAATAGAACCCTCTTCTGCTTAGTTTCAGTGTTGAGCATGAAGGACAAGGGCACACGTGTAAAGCTGGGTGAAAGGCGCTTAAGAGGGAAATGTCAAACATCAGTTGTTAATGTTTTAACTTGCACTTTGTTAATTAAAACTAAGAAAACTGAAGCCAGGCACATTGGCAGACTTTTAATCTCAGCACTCAGGTGGGTCTTAGGTCTCTAAATCCCTTCCAGCTTGGTTAGATCCTTTCTCAAAACAACAAATAAACAAAAAAGGATTGGGCAGGCCGTGTCTCCTCCTTGTGATGAAGCAAGAGTTCAAGCCCGGCCGGGTGGTGATGGCGCACGCCTTTAATCCCAGCACTCGGGAGGCAGAGGCAGGCGGATCTCTGTGAGTTCGAGGCCAGCCTGGTCTACAAGAGCTAGGTCCAGGACAGGCTCCAAAGCCACAGAGAAACCCTGTCTCGAAAAACCAATAAAAAAAAAAAAAAAACCAAAAAAAAAAAAAAACAAAAAAAATACAAGAGTTCAAGGCCAACCTGGGCTGGAGAGAGAGTCCACCTCAAAAACCTAATGATAGCAAAGAAAGCTTTGACAATATGGTGATGAGCATTTTAGGAAAAAAAAGGTCAACTATATTCAGCTGTATGTTTATAGGTATGTAAGATCTGGAATTCTTAAAATGATCCATCACTAAATAAAGCCTAAGGCATGGCCTTGCTATCCACATTCACATTTGGAAAATGGGGTGATTTGACTACATCATAAGGATTTCTAAATTCCTTTTCTTTTCAATCAAGGGGTGCTTGGTGAGAGATCTATGTGTGAGGTCAACATTTAATTGTTGAAGTTTAAGTATTGGATGTGACTCAAGGGTGAGTCAAATGGTTGTACAGCTTGGGTGTGTGTACTCCCCCCTCCCATTTGTCAGTAATCCTTCCTAAGGGAGCAGTTTTATGATGTGATTTCAGTGGTGTTAAACTTGAACTACTTCGCACTGTTACTGTTTCCGTTCCAGTCTAACCTGGTTACCAATGCAAGCTAATTCCAACCCACCCAACCACTGATCGTAGTCCTTAGCGCACTGGCTGATGAAGTAACCCAGAAGGTTGTTTCCACTAAAGCAAATGCTCGTTTTATTTATTTATTTAAGGTGTATTTTCATTTTATGTGCATTGGTTTCTCATCTGCCTGTGTGTCTGAGTGAGGGTGCCAGGTTCCCTGGAACTGGACTTACAGACAGTTGTGAACTGCCATGTAGGTGCTAGGAATTGAACCTGGGTCCTCTGGAAGAGCAGCCAGTACTTTTAACCGCTGATCCATCTCTCCAGCTCAACAAAGCTCATCTTGGGTCATCCTGTAAGTAAAGTGTTAGACTCTGAGGACTATTGATTCCAGGAAACATGAGATTCTCTTTTTTCAGCTCAAAGCTAATAAGAATAAATTGGTCACAACTCTTTTTGTTCTAGTCCCAGCCCCTAGTCAGGATGCTGGCTATGGAGAGCTGAGCGAGGCCTTATATCCTCTCCATGCTTGTTGCAACAGTATCTTGCCAGCCAGTCAGCTCTGAAAACTTAGGTTAACTATGGTTCTTTTTGTCTTTTCTTGGGCTGGATATATTCAGGAAGCCGTTTCTAAAGTGACCTATGTTGTGAATCATTGTAGATGATACAAATGGTACATTGTAGATAGTGGGTAAATGTTAGTTGTGTGATAAATGCTTATGTGAGCCAGGTACACCTTTCCTTTATTGAATTAAAGCATCCCTTCCCAAAGTAACATGCTTCTCCCCACCCACCCCTCTTTCTTTTTGGTTTTTGGATACAAGATTTCCCTATGTAGCCCTGGCTGTTTTGGAACTTGCTATGTAGATTAGACTGGCCTCAAATCAACAGAGATCTTCCTGCTTCTGCCTCCTGAGTGCTGAGATTAAAGATGTGATCACCAGCTAGGCCCAACATGAGCAACAGGACTGGTAAAAATGTAGAATTTCAGACTACTGCAGAACAAAATCACTAGTTTTAGCTAGAATATGTGACATAAAAATATAATTTAAAAATATGATTTTGGGCTAGGCATGTGCCTTTAATCCCAGCACTTGGGAGGCAGAGGCAAGTGGATCCCTATGAGTTTGAGGCCAGCCTGGTCTACAGAGTGAGTTATAGGACAGCCAGGGTTACACAGAGAAACCCTGTCTCGGAAAACCAAAAAAAAAAAAAAAAAAAAAAAGATTTTATTGGTGATAATGGTTAAGAGTGAGTAGTTGGGGAGAAGATGCAGAGTTTCAACTAGTGAAAAATACAGATGCGTATTTTGCCACATTCAAATCCAAAGGCCTCTTGGGTTGGATTTACTGGTCCCTTGGGCTTCTCTCGATGCCAAGAATAGAATGTAGTCTGGAGTGAGAGCACTGGGATTGCCCCACAACTTTATTTTACTTGGAGTAAGTTTTACTGGGACCAGGTTTGCCTTTGAAGCATGCTTGTGAATCTTTGGCAGCTCTAGTCCACATTTTAAATATTAATAAATTAGGCCCATTGAGGTTTCCAGATAGAGGCGTGGCTTGTGCAGTGCAAACTGGCCTTAACTCAAGATCCTCTTGCATACTGAATGATGGTATGAGTAGGATGCCTCCTCTATCCTCCCTGAGATTTCCAACCTTTATGTGCTATAGCCTATTTGATTACAAGGCGTTTGTTGCTTTCCTAATTTCAAAACCCCTTAATTTAAGATAGTGACTCAGTTGGGGTGTTTTTATCATGGTCCACACTGTGAGGAGGAATTTGGCGGTTCTGGAGAAATAGGGTTGGAAATTTAGGTCCGTTTACCTAGCATACATGAAGCCCTATTTTGATCACTCCCACAGGCCTGTAATCCCAATATTTAGGGGGAGCATGAAGATCGGAAGTTGAAGCCATCCTAAACTGCACAGTGAGTTCGAGGCAGCCCTGGATACATGAGACCCTGTCTCAAAAACAAAACAGAGCAAGTAAAACAAAAATCTGAGACTGTACATATGCTACTCACAGCTAGTCTGATAAATACGTTAAAGGTGCCTTCAAAGCCCTGCTACAGCCCAAAATGTCAGTAGTGCTCGCGTAGAGAATTCTGGCTTAAGTATGGTTAGACATTTCAATTAATAGTACGATAAACTATCAGTAAATTCCTTTGATCTTTTTT